ATGCCTTCCCCGGTACGATACTACGATCACCGCCAGCCGGCCGCTCCGCGCCGGTCTCTTTAACTGCTTGATGACTAGGGACCTTACAAATGACAAAATGTTATTCATTGAAACTAATTATAGTCCAGTGTTTACCAGAATACGAAATCGGATGTCTAGTCTGACCGATTTTTGAATTCGTAGCGTCGGTCGTCGCGGCGGTGCGGCGCTTTTCATGTGAATCTGTGTTATTGTTATCGTTGCACTGTGTCTGATGCGTGAGACTGGAGGGGCGCCGGTCGCGGTCCTATCGTAAACACATGCCGTGCGCGAGATGTACGTACACAGTGGGTACTGTCGTCAGTCTGTCATTGTTTCAATGTGCTTATTACGTACCTAACTGTGAAACTTCGTACATGTACCTACATAGTTTAACATAACAATTTGAAAAAATTAAGCGATATATCTCTCTACTTTATTCTGCTCCTTTACTAGAAAAACAAAACTCTCGAAAAACTAAAAAGTAGAAAATAGAACATACTGTGATTTTATGGTGGCCATTAAAGTCTACCAGTAACACAAGTTGGGCCGAAGGGAAGGTACCTGCACAGCCACATACACAGTGTCACTGGGATCCTAAATGTCTATTGTAAACATAATGTTTACCTTAGATAGTTAATCTCATATAGTTAAACATGGACTGCACTAGGCAATTGTCCGCATCGATAAATACTAAACGGTAATGACATTTACCTTCTATTTATTAAGCTAACCTTACAAATCTTCGATGATAATATGACTTTGAATGAATTTTCTTTCAAATCCTAGTGCTCTCATTATCATCAGCTCATCCACCTCAAATGGTGGTCATACGTCGCAAATATGTGTGCCCCTTAATGAAAGTGATATAGGTACCTAGTCTAGCCATAAATACTGGAACAAATAAAAAAAATATTTTTTCTATTGCAAATAACATTTATTACTTTTACAGTATGTAAGTTTAATACATAAATATAAAACAATTTAAAACATAAAAAGCTTCTTCGAAGTGGTCTCCATTGGCTGCAATACAGTCTTAAGACGTTGAGGCCAGTTATCAATAGAAGCACGCACTCTTTCCATGGGAATTTTCTTCACTGCCAATCGTATGGATTGTTTTAGGGAGTCCAAATTATCATGACGTTTAGAGCAAGCCCTACTCTCTAAAACTGACCATAAATCAATCCATCAGATTAAGATCGGGACTAGACGACGGCCAGTCTTCAGCTCTGATGCAGTCGGAAACGTTCGTTTCCAACCAAGACTGCGTGGACCGAGCTTTATGACCCGGCGCCGAGTCTTGCTGGAAGGACCATTGTTGGTTATTGAACATGGTGTTGTTAAGGGGCTTAACTACCTTCTCAAGAATGGTATTTTGATACACTTGTGGCGATGTTTTGATACCTTTTTCGCAAAAGTATGGCTCAGTCACTCCTTCATAGCTAACACCCCACCAAACCATCACTGAAGTCGGATAATGTCCACGTTGCACTCTGTCGACTAATTGAGAAGCTTTCTTAGAGCTTTTAGCATAAATACGGTCATTTTGTTTGTTAAAATGTTGCTCAATTGTAAAAATGTTCTCATCCGTAAACAAAATTTTTCTGTGACCTCCCTTTGCCTACCGCTTCAGTAGTTGTTTCGATTTTATCACGCTATTCTTTTTTAAATTATCATTTAAAAAATGTCCAGTGCGTCTCTTATAGGCTGTAAGTCCTAAGTCGTCTTTTAAAATACGCGACATCGTTCTAGGTGCTATCTTCATCTCCCGAGATAAAATCTTTTGCTTTCGGACAGGATTTCTTCGAATTCTTTCCCTTACTGCTTTGACCACCTTTTTCGTACGAACACTACGGGGACGGCCAGATCTTTTTCTGTCACAAACAGAGGAGGTCTCATTGTACCTATTAGTAGCCCGGTACACAAACATTTGACTAATGACAAGCGTGTGGAGAGTTTTAAAAATTGCATTTGGCTCCATACCCACTTTGTGTAATGCAATCACAGCAATTCGGTTCTCTTTATCACCCCACTCCATTTTAATATCGCAAAATATTGAACAATTTATTGGCGCCAAAATAAGAAAACACGATGAAAAATTATATAAAAATTACAGATTCCAAATTCAAATGTAATATTTTGTTTATTTTTAATTGTAACAGTATTTATGGCCAGACTAGGTATGGTTATAACTTGAGGTGTGACCTTGATGTTCCTGGGACTCTACACCCTGACAAGGAGGCAACAGAACCAGCATGAATATTGTTATGGGGTAGGGCGGCCACACATTGTCTCCAATTTCTATGTACTCCACTATGAAACGTGTTACGCTCCACATAGGTGCAAAGTGCTCATCCAATATCCAATTAGTCCTGTTACGTCAAAACTCAGGATAAATGCAGTAAACCGTTAATAAATTCGCTCTAGCATCTACATTATTTTATAGTTCTGTAGTGAACCAAGCAGGTTCATGAGGTGCGCTCTGGTCGCACTGACGATCTTATAAAGTTTCTCTTGATTTGACAAAAATGATTCGGTTTCGGTAAAAATGAGCAATGTGGTGACACACACATGTATACCTCTTCTTTAGGAATAGGCCACTTTTAGAATACAAGCCATTGCTGAGGTAATTGCTTCCTAAGAAGCTGATGAACATATTTATTTTATTTATTTAACAATTTTGAGAATTACATTTTGTTCCTCTTATTAAAGATCCTTGCCAAACATATCGTTTAGCGGCGAGTTTTGCTGTCCATACAATGTCTCTCCTTCTCTCTTACAATGCAAAGTCGGAGAAGGATGTTCGAGTGGTCGAGAACGTACCACACATAGTAGGTCCAGAAACTATCGAAAGTAAAAGTAAATTATCTTACTATCTTAAAATTAGATTTTCAATGGCAACTTAATGAGCCCTAAAGCGTGCGCAAAGAAATAAACTTTACATTAAATATACAGAGCCAAATCTATAAGAAAATACCATTGCGCGAGAGTCACTTTAAAAATGGTATAATGTGTCCCTTTTTCCTACATATAAATTCGGCTTACCTGTAACCGCAAATCGAATTAAATTGTTTTGTTTTTGGTCGGCGACAGCTGTCAAGTTTCCTTGTAAATAAAAAGATTAAAAAAGTATTTATTTTATGTTACTGAATCGAAAAATACACGTTTTTCTTTTGTCAGAGAAATATTATCAAATGTCTCTCTCTCTCTCTCTCTCCCGCCTAGAGTAAGGCGAGAGAGAGTGTCATACTCTTACTGACTAAAAACACCCCCGTACCTTCTCCTGCTTTGGGCCGAGTCCACATTGCGCTTACCCCGCGACTCCGGCTGAACATTAGCATCAGCTCTGTAGGCTGTAAGGCCCTCTTTAAGGCGCGCGCGGAACACTACACGCCGTACGCTCGGGTCTGGATCTGTTCGGGCCACGAGCTACCTTCAGTCGCCGTCCGCAGACCCGCGCTTACGGTGGCCGGAGATCGTCTCTCAATCCCCGACACCCGGAGTATCTACTGCTGGGGCGTGAGGAGGAGCATGTGCGGTTATTTCAACTTTCCACGCTTGCAGACGCTTTGTTTCTTCTGCTAGTTCAAGCTGTTTCCTTCATGTGATGTGAACACACACGCAGGCTGGCTAGGATAGCGTCTATACCAGCGTTTGCTTCTTGCTAATCTACAAGTTACGAGCCTATGTACTTGTACTGAGTGTATTAAAGTGTGTATTAAACGATATAAACACCACTTGACTATTCAATCCACGACCCTGTCTGCGATGTTACGGGACTTTAAGTATTTTAATTTAGTTAGGTAATCAAGTTAAGGTAATAGAAATTAACAGAAATACTTTATCTATGTTTTTAATTTAATTCGCACGTCAAAGTGATAAGACAAAAAAAAATATAATATATACATAATTTGTACAATTACCATGCTATCTTCCACAGGTTTTAGTTTTCAGAATTGGTTTGAACGAGATCTAGTAATCTTTAAGTTTTTAACCGACTTCCAAAAAGGAGGATGGTTCTCAATTTGACCGTATATATGCTTTTTTTATGTTTGTTCGCCGATATCTCCGTTATTTATGAACCGATTTTGATAATTATTTTTTTGTTGGAAAGGAGATAGTCTCAGAATGGTCACATGACAGGAAACAAGGAAAACAGAATCTGATGATGGAAGACCAGAGAAATCGAGGGGAACTTTCAAAAACTGTAGGGGCGAGTGGTGCTTTTGCGTATGGTTTTGGTAGACTTTTGACAACGCTACAACTTGGCGATATTCAAACCCGACCTGATGATGGAGCCGGAAGACAGTCGAGGGATCTCCTTGACTATTTGGAGTAGTTGCCTTGTGTTTAGGCTTGAATGATTTGGTTTTGGTAATGGTGAGCACTATGCACCAAGATTGGTGGTGACTGTCATTAAGGGTCTGATGATGAGAACGATGGACAGCTTAGGGAACTCCTGAACGGTAACTACCTCGTGTTTGGACATAATTCATTTATAATGATGAGAATTTTGCACCTATATGGATAATGTATAATGAAGGTGTGCAGTATACCTGATGATGGAGGTCATTGACATTCGAGGGAATTCCTCAACGATTTACAGCACTGAAAGCTGAGTAACTCAGGACTACCATTACTGTGATTTTTGCCAAGTAGCCGTCGTTCTCTTTCGAGAAGCATTCTAGCTTTTTGTGCCTATCACTTAAAGTGGTGAAATAAAATATTTTTTAACAAAAAAAAAACCGACTTCAAAAGTAAACTAAAAAGCAAAAAGTAAATAAATTTACTTTGTTCAAAGTAATACATATTTTCATTTAGTTAAATAGAAATAATATTCAATATCTGATTATGTAACATGCTAAAGCCACCTTAGTAGGGACTATACATATATGTAAGTTGTGCGCACTAATTAGACATTGTAAACAAAGCAGTGTGGTGTGCAGGTGGCACAGCAATGTGTATGGATTGGTTGCCGACAGACATCCGCATGCAGCTGGCGGAGCAGAGCCGCGTGCTGGAGGCGCGCGCCGAGGCCACGGCCGGCGTGGCGGGCGAGCTGCACGACTACTGCCGCCGCCGCGCAGACCTCGAGCACGACTACGCGCGCGCGCTCGACAAGCTGGCGCGCGCCGCCGCCCAGCGCCACAAGGACCAGAAGCACAAGTACGCGCCCACCCACTTTATATAAACAGACCTTCGTACGACTCCAGCGTCTCGCCATGGATGCCTGCAACACCAAATGAGTTTACATTCGTTTTCGGAGATGAAGTTGGAGAGGGATGGGGGAGGCGAAGAATTGGCACTCCAGAAACCTCACTCACATGGGAAGTCATACGTCTGTGGTTGTTTCACGCCGGTTTGCTGTTTGTATAGTATCACTCCGGCTGAGTCGACCCATTCGTGTCGAAGCTTGACTATCCATAACTCTGATAATTTCTAAAACAGACATCCCTTTTTATTTGTTATTTCGATGTTTCTGAATGGATGTTACATAGCCTTACGTTAATTTAACTAAATTGAGTAGTACCACTTAGTAAATACAAACTAGGCAACGGATGTTGATGCGGTATTTGTAATGGGTAAATACAGTGAAGAGGACGCTTTATATATATGTAAAGAGCGCCATCATCCGTGCGAGATTAGATTAATCTCGCACGGATGGTTGGTTGGTTTAACCGCTGCCTACTCGGCTCCCACATATCGTAGCGTGATGTTTTATTGCCTACAGCCTTTCTCCATAAATGGACTAATAAACTACGCTATGAGCAAATAACTTCAGTATTAGAATTACCGACAATTTTGGACTTGTATATCTAGTCATTTTGTTTGGCTTCCAAAGGTATGAATACTGTAACTGTGTAACTAAAATAAATGATTAGGCTTCGAGAGGGCCTCTGGGGGACGGCACTAGAGTGGTGAGTCGGGTTGCAGGCGCGAGCAGTGGGCGCTGACGAGCGCGTACGCGTGCTGGCAGGGCGCGCTGGAGCACACGCGCGCGCTGGCGCGGGACCACGCCGCGCTCGCAGACCTGTACGCCGGCCCGCTCGCCGCGCGCCTGCAGCGCGCCGCCGACGACGCGCTGCGACTGCACCGCAAGTGCCGCGACATCGGTGAGTGACTCGCGCCGCGGGGGCCGGGCGCCGGCCGCGCCCCGCCCCCGCTGACCGCGCCGCCCCGCAGTGTCGGAGCGCCAGGAGGACGTGGGCGCCGCGCTGGCCGACGCGGCCGCCGCGGGCAAGGCGCACGCCGCCGCCGCCTCCGACTGGCGCCAGGCCGCGCTCAAGCTGCGCCACGCCTACGACCAGCGCCAGCGCGTCGCCGCCGTCGACCCGCCGCGACACAAGAAGCTCAAAGCGCTCGACAAAGAACTGGAAAAGGTACTGAACCTACGCGTCGATATATGCAGAGCCCTCGCGGCAAGCGCAGTACATGACGGAGCATTGACGTGTTGCAGCGTCGCGGCCGGCACCGCGCCGCGCACGAGCGAGCGCTGCGCGCGCGCGCCGACTACGTGCTGAGCCTCGAGGCCGCCAACGCCACGCTGCAGCGGTACTACCTCGACGACATCGCAGACATCATACTGGTACACTGCACACGACACTTACTTCCATCTGTTTGCTTTCGAAGTCAGTTCTTTAAACCGGCTTCGCTCGGGAGTTGATATGAAGTTACGTTAAAAATAAATTTTGAAAACATTTTCAATATAGCTGACCGTGCTAGATAGAATGTCCTATACAGCATCGTCCGTCGTAACAATAGATGCTGCAGCTGTAGCATACGTACACAATTTAAATTTTAAAAATGTTTTCATAAGTAATTTTATTAACTTAAATGATGTCGCTTTAACTCCATCATATTAGTTGCTACTGCTGTATAGATATATTAAATTAATAACTTTTAGTAACAAATGTAATTTAAGACTTTATCGAGATTGGTATTTTTAGTTCCGCGCCCCAATAATCGCTCTTTAGAGTCCATATTGTGTACAATGAATGGAGTTCCACTACTCGACAACAGGTGGCGCTACTACCCTTACTTTCCAAATTGAATGGTTGGAAAATCTTTTATATCTTTAAATACACACCCTTTAGGTAAAAACGGAAACTGTCTTGTTTGAGGGGGAATAGAGGGCTATCACACTATATGAGTACAAGTCACTTTATTGTGCTGTGTCTGCTTTTAAGTTTTATCGGCACGCACATTTCTACAACTTGGTTTTATTATATGTAGCGATGATTATTCGTAATGTATCGAGATCCTTTAAACTGCTCACTACTTACATGAATGGTTCCCATAGCGTAAGCTCATTTAGTGCTTTTATGTTGGTTGTATTGTAGAGTTGATATTGAACTACAATTTTACACGTCTAATTTGACGTGTAAAAGTGCCGTTTTATGGCCTATTTGCAAAAATAAATTCATTGTTTCATCATTGTTTCATTGAACAGTGCATGGAGGTGGGGTTCGAGGGCGTGGTGGGGCGCGCCGTGCGCACGGCGGGCGAGGCGGAGGCGGGCGCGGGCGCGGCGCGCGCGGCGGCGGCGGCCAGCCTGCGCGGGCCCGGCGCCGCGCTGGACGCGCTGGCCGCGCGCGCCCGTCTGCTGGACGCGCACGCCGCCGCCTTCTCGCTGCCGCGCCCGCTGCTGGCGCCCGCGCCCGCCGACGCCGCCGACCTGCTGGCCGACGCGGCGGACGACGCGCCCGACGCAGCCCCGCACCACGTGGCGGCCGAGCTGGCGCAGCGCCTCAACCAGCTCGACGCCGCCGCGCGCCAGCTGCGCGCCGAGTGCCGCGAGCACGCCAAGACGCTCGACGCCGCCGAGGCCGAGCTCATCAAGCAGGTACGCTCCTCGCCTGCCTCTTTGCTATAACCCCCACTTTTATTACTCCTCGAAAAGCTATACCAGTCTCAAGACACAGCGGGACTCTTATTCATAAGCATCAACACGCTCACTGCGCCCCCTCCCGGCAACCGCACGCACTTTCCTCCAACGGCGAGAGGTGCGACGACTATATTGTCACAATCGGCGCGTGTAGCCACGTAGGCGTTAAGTTGAAAGACTACATTAGTATATTATGAGACCCGTTGTCATTTGAAACTTTAGCTTACTAGCTTTTCTCAGTTAATTGACATGAAAAATTAGCTTTTGCATAAAGAGTTAATTAAGAATTAATCGGTGTCTATGCAGATGGAGGGTGACGACGCAGCTTGGGATGTGAGCGGAGTGTTCGGGGCGGGGGGCACGGGGGCGGCGTCCCTGCCCACGGTCCCCGCCGCCGTGGCCGAGGACCAGGAGGACTACTACTTGCACAAGTTCCGCGCCTACGTGGCCTGCGCCGGCCGCCTGGCGCGCCTCGAGGCTAAGAGCGCGGCGCTGCGCGGGGGCCTGGCGGGCCCGGCGGGCGCGGCGGCCGCAGACGGGCCGCGGTCCCCGCCGACGCCCCCGCGGCGCGCGGCGGCGCGGCTGCGGCGCGGGCAGTGGGCGGCGCCGCTGGAGGCGCGCCTGCCGGCCGTGCTGGTGTCGTGCGTGCGCGTCATCGCCACGTACGGGCTGCGCCAGCAGGGCATCTTCCGCGTCTCGGGCTCGCAGGTCGAGATGCAGGCGCTGCGCGCCGCCTTCGAGCGCGGCGAGGACCCGCTGGCGGGCGTGCGCGACGCGTCCGACATGAACTCCGTGTGCGGCCTGCTGAAGCTGTACCTGCGCGAGGTCCGGCCGCCGCTGCTGGCGCCGGCGCTGCAGGAGCGCCTGCTGGCGGCCGCGGCGCTGGCGGACGACGCGGCCTTCGTGCGCCGCAGCCGGGCCGCGCTGGCCGCGCTGCCGCTGCCGGCGCTGCTGGTGCTGCGCTACCTGTTCGCCTTCCTGGCGCACCTGGCCGAGCACGCCGACCACAACATGATGGACGCCTGGAACCTGGCCATCTGCCTGGGGCCCACGCTGATGGCCGCCTGGGGCGAGGGCGGCGCGCAGGTGGCGGCGCAGAACCTGGTCAACGAGCTAGTCAAGCGCATCATCCTGCACCACGCCGACATATTCCCGCAGGACGTGGCGCCCCACGCGCTCTACCGACGCTTCAGGTGCCGCCGCTTGTACTCGGTGCCGCTTGCTACCGTACGGCAAGCTGTGGGCCATCTACTGACCTTTGCTGTGTGCAGTGACGGCGACGCGGGGGCGCACGGCGACGGGGACGCGCCGGCCGAGGCCGCGGACGGCGCGGACGACGGCGCGGCGGAACGCGCGGCGAGCCCGGCGCCGGCGGACGAGCCGGACGCGCCGGACGACCTGTCGCTGTACGACATCGACGACGACGACACAGGTACTGCCCGCGTCCCGCGCCTCTGCCACATAATATAAGCAAATTAAGCGTTTCTTAATTTCTGTATCCACACACTTATGGCGCATGTTGCCAGTTACGCGGTATGCTTTCTGTATGTATTGTATAGCGTGCAGTTGTAAGACGCGCCCTGGATAATGCAGAATACCATTATAGTGTAGTAATAATGTTGATAATTAGCGCTGAGGTGCATTGATTGATCCAAAAGAGCCGAGAACGGTATTCATCAAGACACGTGTATCATATGACGTTTATCAAAATACTTCTGAACAAAATAACACTTTAAAAAAAACTTCAAAAGAAAACCTAATCGTGAAAAATTTTCGTAATGGCAGAAAAAAATAATAAGTTTATCTATGCGCGCGCATCAGCCATAGACTATCTTCGATAGCTACGACTTCGATACGATTAGCCATAGGTTTTTCGCGGATAGCATTTTAGCGCAAGTGTAAGCGTAACTCAACCAATAATTTAAAAAAAAATTATTATTCACTAGTCTTATATATAAAAATGGATCGCAAAATGTGTTGTAAGCGCATAACTCAATAACGCCTGGACCAATTTGGCCAATTCTTTTTTTAAGATGTTCGTTAAAGTCCAAGGATGGTTCTTACGGCGAGAAAAAATCGGATAATTGCCGGGAAAACCCTAAAAACAGTCCTTTTCTTTTTCACATACAAACGTTTTCTAACTAAAACGTCGAATCAATTTGAGCTTTATTGCTGTTATACATAAGGTTCATATTAAATAACAAGCACTCACTGTTATCTAAGAAATAAATGAAAGAAGAAAAGGTGTGTTCCTAACGTCAAAAAGTAAATTTGCACTTTCTTACCACTAAACAAAGTTCAAATTCAATCATATCTATCAAAACAGCGTGCGCGTGTGCTTTGGAGCTGGAGCACAGAATTCGTCGTTTGAGGATTAACAAGTCGGGTTCCGAAAACAAAAAAAAAATCCGATTTGAATGATTCTTTCAGTGTTATGTAGTCCATTTATTGAGGAAGGTATATTTTATTTAATTCAAAATTATTTTGTAACACAAGGAGTAAAATCGAAAACCTATTTTTGCGTGCGCTGCAATAACTATTGACCATAGAACAAAATGATGTACTACGGGTCTGTAGATTCTATTAAAACCTACAAAAAGTCCGCGAGAGCATATATCTAGCTATCATGGTTTAATCACAATACCCGATTTTGTGTTCAAAAATAATTATTAAATCGTCTGAAGGAAAAAGCACGTTAAATATGTATCGTAATATTATTCTTTATCGGAATTAAGCATTATGTTATCAAGAGTATTTATGTATAAGTATTTTAAAATACTTTTTTTATTTCCTCTCAATCTCTCAATCGTTTAAAAGTTATAATGTGTGTAAGATGTTAAGAATTGGTATTTTATTAATGAGTTATGGACCATAGAGTTTTTTATCAACATAAAATCCTGTAATAATATTTTTCGTAATATATTTGTTGATGATTGTAAGTATAAGATGTTTGAAGAGTATAAGAAATACATTTCTAAACTAACTCTACTAAGGAAGAGAAAACCCAAGGAAAAACATACCTACATCTTAATTTGGAAATGTCGTTGCGGAAGTCATACGATGTAAATGAATTAAATGAGTATATTACTGTAAATGCACCCAAGTTCTTTAATGACCAGGTAATGGCAAACAATAGTGTTATGCTCAGTGTTGTTTCAATGAGGGAAAAATATTTTTTTGGGTGCTCCAGGCGGAACCGGCAAAACTTTCATTAGCTACTAATATGATATTAGCAAAAGTAAGGTCTCAGGGAAAACTAGCTTTGGCAGTAGCGTCATCTGGAATCGCTGCTACTATATTAGCTGGCGTACGCACAGCTCATTACACTTTTAAACTAACATAACCTAACCGTTCCGTTACAGAAAAATGGCCTTTTAGGCAAAGTTTTGTAAGATGTCACTTTAATAATCTGGGATGAATGTACCATGATTCATAGAGCTCATGTGGAGGCTCTAGATAGGACTATTATAGATATTAGAGACTGTGATAAAATCATGGGGATTATTGTCATGTTTGCTGGGGATTTTCGGCAAACTTTACCAGTAGTAGTAAGAGAAACTAAAGTAGACATTGTAAAAAATTGCCTTAAAAGTTCTTTATTACGGTAATTTGTTCATACCTTAAAACTATCTACGGACATGAGAGCATATTTGGGAGGAGGTAGTACAAATTTTCCTTTGAAGTTACTTTTAGTTGGAGACGGGAAAGTACCTTATTTTGAAAATAAAATACCTATTGATCAAGATTTAGGAGAAAAAAAGACTAGCATTGAGAGTTTAATATCAAAAGATATCGTCGAAATAGAAAATAAAGATTATCAATGGAAGTGTGCACAGTCGGTACGGTGGCTGGGCAACTGGCTGCCGTGCAACGTGTCGCGGGTTCACAATTTAACTTAATCTATATTTTTCTTTGACTTACACAATTTAACTTAATCTATATTTTTCTTTGACTTACACAATTTAACTTAATCTATATTTTTCTTAATATTATACCTAAACATGAAAAGTTTGGTTGTTTGTTATGAAGGCGGTAATCTCGGGAAATGCTGATCTGATAATTATGAAAACTGTTCAAATATTCAATAGTCCATTTATTGAGGGAGGCTATAATATAGGCAATATTTTATCTCGGTATTTCCACGGAAACGACAAAAACGCGGGTGAAACCGCGGGGCACAGCTAGTTAATAATAATAATGAAAAAGTCAATTTGATTATAGGTATCATTACGTGCGTAATTGCCGTGAGATTAGAGTTACTTTAGGAAGTGTGTTGAAAATATATTTAAAAGGAAGGTAACAAAGCAACAATAACACTACTTACGAAATTGTATTATATTAATGATAGTGGTTAGTGAAAGAATATAAATATTATATACATTTTTTTAATGTCGATTCGACGTCAGTGACATATTACAAAAGTTGTAGACTTCGTCCTTACATTTCGATGATGAATATATTAGTGGCAATGCATGCGAGGCGGAAGTGTGAGTGAGTGTATAACGGTCGGTTACAGACGACATCAGCGACGAGGACGGCGAGAGCGGAGACTGGGGGGAGCGAGAGTCCGCAGAGTACCGCGGGTGAGTGCCGGCCTCGGCCAACCCGCGCCCACCCGACCGACCACCACCTCACCCACTGCCGTCTTGCAGGCCGCCCGCCGCCGCCGCGCCCGCCGCGCCCGCCGCCCCCAGCCCCGCCGCGCCCGACGCCGCCGCCGCGCCGCCCGCGCCGCGCCAGGTACTGCCCTCCGCCGCTGTACTGGCGTGACCACACCCTTTGTTGCTACATTGCAACACAATGCTAAGTGGGAACTTACCATCCCAACTAAATCAACTAAACATTATTTATTCATTATCATTTTGCATCCGACATACCTACTTTAGGAATCTACAATATTCTACCCTCACTATACATTACATTCGGGCACGCTATTATAGCAGCGGTAAGACCCCTCTTTGAGGAGTGGCTTGAGAGTCGCCACGGCGTCCTGACCTTCCGCCTGACGCAGGTGCTTACCGGGCACGGCAGCTTCGGTAGGTTCCTGTTTCGGATCCAGCGGGAGGAAACGCCCGAGTGTCGTCATTGTGAGGACCACCTAGAGGATACGGTGGAGCATACGGTGGCGGTATGCCCTGCCTGGGCTGAGCACCGCCGTGTCCTCAGGGAAGTAATCGGCGGCGGCGACCTCTCACGCCCGGCCTTAGTCGAGGCCATGGTGCAGAGTGAGAGGAACTGGAACGCCGTCTCCTCCTTTTGTGAAGCAGTCATGCTCGCAAAGAGAGAGGCGGCCCGCGTGAGGGAGCAATCCTCCTCCTCACGCCCCAGCCGCCGCAACTGGCGACACTACGGGCGTCGGTGATCAAGGGACGATCTCCGACCACCGTAAGCACGGATAAGTAAGGGCAGCTCGCCGCCCGACCAGAACCAGGCCCGAGCGTATGGAGCGTAGCGTTCCGCGCGCGCCTCAAAGAGCCAATAGACCACCACAGACGGGGCCCTATAGGGCTGATGTTCAGCCGGGGTTGCGGGGTAAGCGCAATGAGGCACCACGACCTCGGCCCAGAGCAGGAGAAAGAACAGAGGGGTTTTTAGTCAGTAAGAGTCGTCTGACACTCCCTCCCGCCCGGCCCTGGGCGGGAGAAGTCATTTGAAAAAAACTATACATTACATTGCTATAAAACAGTATTTATATCAAATGACATGCTCATCTAGTAAGAGTGACGGGGGAGTGCGGACACCGAGTGATGCATGACGCTTTGCTTCCTACTTCACTGTCGCTTCACTTATAATCGATCGCAAACCGAACTACTTGTCAATTAGAAAATTTACGCTTATAGAAAATCGAAATGAGCCATATTTGATGTTTACCGTCGCATCACATCAAACACTTCGTATCCATATTGTAACAAAATAAAATAATATATGACAAGCATGTGAACGCAGTGAAACCACTCGTTCGGTTGGATGTATCTGTATTATATTATAATTCGGGTTATTATAAATACACCAACTACCTCGCAGGGCGCAGCCACCGATGACATTACTTACGACCAACAACAACTTTTCAAAGTTATCGACAATTATGTCACAAACTCATACAAAGTCCTGTCAAGTTGCTGATGCATTTAAAATGGCCCGGTGTTATGTTCCGATTCTAATCAGATAAATATCTGCAGAGGAACATTATTCCAATAACGATATTTATAAACGAGTCCCTTTCAATACAAGCCGCTGCCCAACACTGACACTATGTCTGACAACAGTCTAGCAGCAGTAACAATCAAATCTTGCCTCTCAATATAAATGTCACTCCCATTAAGCTGTATACATACTCAATATATATCATATATTTGTTTCTTTTGCTATGTTAATGAACTTGGTCTGTTAACAGTTTCAATATATTAATAATAATAAATATACTAGTAGTCACTTGCATCTGTCGCGGCGGAAATCTTGATAGGGGCTCG